GTACTTTTTTGAGGTAGAAAATAGTTCAAGGACATGATCAGTAGATAGCACTTGCTTGTTGAACGCTGGCTCTGAACAAGAAGATTCTTTCATTTTTTTAGTTTATTTCTTGATTTATTTTATTAATTAATTTTTTTTTTTTTTAAATTTAATTCATTTTCTAAAATATTTTTTATTATTATTTAAATTGTTCATCTATTTTTTCTTTTCAACGTTTTCCCTTTCCCCTCCCTTTTTACCCTTTTTCAAAGAAAAAAGAAAAAGCTCTCCCCCTACTTCGCTCAACCACTGGCTAAGGAGCAGGAATAGCGCAGGACTTAGTACCATGAATTCAAGTTAGAGAAGACAACAATGTTGCACTAGAAGCTGTTCAACTACTTACAATAAGATTCTAACACTTCAATTACTATTTTTCATGATTAGGCCAACTTTGCTACGGATTTGGACAGACCAGACATCGAGATTATCCTCGGACCTGTGGCGTATGTACCAACTTAGCAAAACAAAATCATTGATTAACAGTTGTTAGAATATGGTACTATTGTAGGTTGATTCATACTAACATTTTAGTTGTACCTCTTACATTAGCCACTGGAGATACGGAGGACTCTATGTATCGTTACTGAGTTCGTATGCTCCAGTTGGAGGGATTACTGGGTGTATCCCCGCCTCTTTCATATAGCATACGGACTAAGACTTCGGAAGTGGAGACCTTAGACCATAACGCGTGGACCAGTTACGTTTGTAGAATCAAAAAGCTGGCGACCTAGTGCTTGTGGTCTTTACAAGAGTATCTAAATATATGATTAGCTATGAACGATTTCATACGCGTCCTAAGCACCCGGCGATGCCTATGCCCCGTTGGAGTGTTTATTTAAATGGACTTGACCTCCCATTGGCTTGCTTTCCTATGTCTCAACGGCAGTGCTAAACAGTCCAAGCAGTAACAAGAAGAGCCACTAAGGAAAATGCCATCTTCTACCGATCCAGAACACGTTAGCCCTGACCGATTGGGATGCAGACTGTCATTTGCGTTCTCCGGTAAGTCGGCCAGAAATCGCTTCCTGAAGAGCTCTACCGGCGAACGCATGGCGTCTTTCTCCGAAACTGATATTAGCTGTCGTGGAATCCCTTCAGCCGAGCTTGTCAACTTATACAGACACTGGGGCGAGGGTAGCATCGGACTTATTATTACCGGCAATGTTATGATCGATTGTGCGCATCTCGTTTCAGCAGGAGATGCTATCATCCCTGTAGATGCACAGCTCAAGGGCCTGCGATTCGACAGATTTAGTGGCATTGCGCTAGAAGCAAAACGCCATGGATCCCTCGTCATCGCTCAATTATGTCACCCCGGTCGTCAGACACCGTTACATCTGCAACCATTCCCAATTAGTGCAGGTGACGTAGGGATTCGAGGGGGGGGATTTTGGGACCGATTTCGGTAAACCTCGACCTGCAACGAAGGAAGATATTGACCGTATTGTTAAAGGGTTCGCCCATGCCGCTGCGTATGCGGAAAGGGCTGGGTTCGACGGCATCCAGTTGCAAGCAGCACATGGACACCTGCTGAGCCAATTCCTGTCACCCAGAACAAACAAGCGCCAAGATTCTTACGGAGGCAACGTGAAGAATAGAATGCGACTGATCTCTGAAATTCGCAAAGCAATATCCGAACGAGTAGCAAAAGATTTTATCGTCTGGATTAAAATTAACGCCGTTGAATTCCAGCAGAGCGCCTTCGGATCAGAAGAGACCGATCAACTGAGCATCGAACTGGAGCGAAGACGTTTTGATTTCGTTGAACTGTCTGGTGGCACTTATGAGGATTGGACGATGCATCGCAAGCAAGTTGCTTCTATACAACGGCATGAGGCGGTAAGTAAATAGGAGCAAAACAACGAGTAAAACTTCAAGGGCAACATAGTGACAGTGACCTACAGTTATTTTTACAGACTGCAAAATTGTATTCAAATAGAATGAAGCAGACAAGGATCTACGTCACCGGAGGTCTTCGCTCTATCCGAGGTATGGTACACGCATTGGATAACGTGATCTTTTTTGTAAGGAATTTTGTCTGTAAGTACCGGGCTGTTCACCAATATGGTTGTTCAACCCGAAGGGCTAACAAGGGAGGATATTTGCCCTCTGGACCCACTTGGTGTTTCATTTGTGTGATGATGGTACTCACCAATGGATTAGCTCACCAACAATGTACTTCATACCGGTACCGGATGAACACAAAACAATAGCTGCTGTCTTCATTGTGCCAGCCCAGAGAAGATCATACTGAACGAGTCTCCCCGACATAATTAATTTCATCATATTCCATTTGATCGTATAGCCGGAGACTCGCAGGTATCCAGGAATGTTTTCTAGAAATTTTTCAGCAGCAAAGTTTGCCCATCAGATAAAGTGGGCCCTGCCCTGGTATTGAGTCTCGATTTAATAGCTCTAAGTTAATTAGAGTATTAGCTCTAGGCTGAATATTACTAGAGCTAGACCTAGTAGGGTGATAAGATAGGGTAGATATTCTAGGTAAGGTAGGGTCTATATAATTCTAGATCCCTTTGGCTTTAGCTACTAGTCTAATATAATAGTTCTATTAAAGTTAGTTACTAGACTGATTAAGCTAAAGAGGTATCTTCAATTTAAATAATATAATAAAGGTTTTATTTCTATATATAGATATATATAGAAATAATCAATCAATATAAATAGAATAGGGCTAGTAGAGCTAAGCTGGGCTTATAACTATTAGCTTCCCTAATTCTAAAGTGGAATAGTCTTAGAGATTAGCTTAAGAGAATATAAAAATAAAATAATAATATAGATTGAATAATTAGATAAGATAGAATAGACTTAAAAAGATTAAATAATTAAATAGAAAATCTGACTATCTAATAATCAGATAGTTGGTTGATAATTTATTTATTTATTTAATCAAGTTTAACGTCCATATGGAGCCAGTTGGCTATGACAGACACATGCGTCTGGGCAGTGGTCTAGACCACTGCCCCTAATTTATCTCTAGGAGCTCTATAAGCTCCTACTATCCTTCGTATATTCGTTCTGGTCCTTTTCCTCGCCCGATCCGCCTATCTGCGCCAGAGCATTTGGGCTGTGCCCTCCTCGGTATTTATTGCCAGTTGGGTAACTCCTAGATATGCCTAGGCTACCCCTCCCACTATCCTTCTCCCCTACTCTCTGCTTCCTCCACTAACCCAAGATCTCTTAGGTCATCTCTAGAGATCCTATCTATCTCCCTGGCTGCCTCTCCTGGGAAGCACCCAGCCTTTGTTGTTGCAAGGAACGCTATTATAGCCTTTGTAGCTCTCTGATCCTTAAAGAGGCGGCTTTCTGGAGCTATCTCTCCTTGTCCAGGTAGTTGTACTCCTGCCTTTGTTAGGGCCCTATACAGGGTCTGTCGTTGGTGGCGCCATTGCCTGCATTCGACTAGTAGATAACCTGCTATTCCCTGAGGAGCTTGGCAGTTCTGACATCTAGGGGAGTCCTGAGCTCCTATCCGACCAAGATAGGTTGGCACTGCTGCATACCCAATTTTCAGCTGGTAATATCGACGTGCAAGCTGTTTGGGGGCTGCTTCTGCTATCGGATCTAGTTTCCAACCCTTCTGGGGCTGATATCGCTGCCGAGCTCTGTCAGATCGCCTCTCTAGGATCTGTATAAGCCATTTTTGTCTTTGGGCCTGGTTTGCCTCTGTACATGTTCTGCGTAGGTAGGCTAGACTCAGGCTTCTGTCTGCATCTCTTAAAGGGGGCTTTTTGGCAGCTAGCTTAGCTGCTTGATCAGCCTTCTCATTTCCTAGTATACCCTGATGACCTGGGACCCATTGAATAGTAACCAGACACCTTTGATTTATTAGTCCTTGGGCTATATCTTGTATCTGAATTGCCAAACTCTGTCCTGCGCCAGCTCTGTTATCTCGTAGCCTAGCTATCGCTGCCTGGGAGTCTAATAGAACCCTGATAGGGCCCTTATAGTCCAGCTGCTCAGCTATCTCAAGCGCCTTGTATACCCCTGCTAGTTCTGCGTCAAAGACCTCCTTCCCCTGTCCCAGAGACACCTGCTTGGTTGTCCAGGTGCCTGAGGACTGTTACCATACAATACCTGCCCCTGTTTGTCCATTGTCTAGGCGTGACCCATCTGACCATATAGTTAGACCTTTATATAGGGTATTTACTTGCTGAATAGCCTCTGGCTCTGTAGACACTAGTATAGTGCCCGGAAACACTTTTAGAAAGGTCTCTACTGTTTCCTCAAACCCTGCCGACAGATCTATCTTCAGTATTTCTACTAACTTAGCAGCTAGATACTGTCCTAGGCTCAATAGGCCTCGTGTCTTAGGGCCTTCAGCCCATATTCGATCGTCTGAGGGCTGTTCCCCGGGCTGCGCATAGCAGTCTCCCTTGCGGAAGCTAATAGGCAGTATAACCCGTGTTGGGTGTCCCTCAGACAGTCCTAGTAGTCTTAGGCCATATTGTCTCTGGCGTTTGTCTAGTAGCACTGCTACTGGAGATAGGGCTGCTTCTTTAATAAGTGGTCCAATAGGTGTAGTTCTCAGCATGCCTGTAATAGCTCGTGCCTGTCGATTAATCAGCTGCTGGATGCCCTTTAGTCTATCATTTTGACCCTGCCACCAAAGCTCTGCCCCATATAGTACAACTGCCTGTACTGCAGCTATTTGAATACGTTGAACTAGGCCTGGTGATAGCCCTCGGTCTCGGCATAGACTTTGTACCTGTACCTCCGCCCTGCGGGCCTTGCGTAGACAGGTATAGTAGTGCACTTTAAGAGTCAAACCCCTATCTAGCCATATTCCTAGCCACCGTGTGGCCTCAGAGTTGAAGGCAACTCTGTATCCTTCTATCTGGATCTTTGCTTACTGTATCTGATCTTTAAGCAATCTGCCCCTTTTTCTCGTAAAAAGAACTGCTTCGGTCTTTTCAGTATCGAACTGAACTGCTTGTTTTCTGCCCTGCTCTATAACAGTCTTAGCTGCCTGTTCTAGGTCCTGGCAGGCTCTTTGTACCGAGCTAGCTGATATTAATAGGGCTATATCATCTGCAAATGATATGGCTCTAATACCAGGAACTGCTTGTTCAATAGCTTAAAAGATCGCTCCTAGATAGATAATAAAAAGAATCGAGGAGACTGGTAAGCCCTGTGGGACCCCTGTATCTATAGCCTATGCAGAACATTGCTGTTGGTCTATAACCAGCTGTATTCTGCGCTCTGCTAGGAATGACTGTACCCAGCAGTATAGATCTCTATCTAGACCTAGCTCTAGCATTCGCTTCACTAGTCTTATAGCGTCCACATGGTCAAAGGCCCCTTTCACGTCCATAAAAAGGGCCCCCACCAGCTGCTTTTGGCCCCACGCTTGGTACACCTCTTGAATCAGGCAGGCTACTGCGTCAACTGCGCTACGTTGTTTTCGACTGCCCATTTGCCCTGGATATAGAACACCGGCTGCCTCGCAGTAGCTAGAGATAGCTTCTGCTACTACTTTCTCCACTATCTTCCCTATACAATTCAGTAGACTGATCACTCTGTAGGCCTTGACTATCGAATAGTCGGGCTTATTAGGCTTGCGCAGTAGGATCCCCTTTGCTATCTTCTATACCTGTGGGTGTAGCCCCAGTCTGAAGCACTGGCGTACTAATACTACTATTCACGTGGCATCCCAGCTCCATAGTAGTCTCAGTGCCCGGAAGTTAAGGCGGTCTATTCCGGGTGCCTTTTGAACTGCCTGACTAAAAAGAGCTTTTTGAACCATATTATAGTTTACCTGTAGATATATAGTTCCCTGAGGAATTGCTTCTATTGTCTCACCTCTAGAAACTTTAGGAAATAGGACTTCCCTGATCAGAGCTTCTTTTACCTCTAGAGTAGTTGCTTGCTGTCCCCGAGAGCTTTTGAGTACTGGTATAGTTCCGGTAATCAGGGGTTTGCAGTATCTGAGTGCCTGCCAGCATCGGGTTGAGTCCTTAGGGTCTAATCCTTCTTTAGGCTCTGCCTTTGCCTCGCTTGACTGCCCTGTTAGAAAGGCCTCCCAGCATTCGCGCTTTGCCTTTCTAATAGATTAATAGTAGCTATTCCGGGCCCCCTTTAGATCCTGATCAGTGCCTAGATCTGTTGCCCATATCCGTTTAGCTCGTGCGTATTCTCGCCGGCTGGCTTTGACCTGCAGGCCCCACCATCGTTTAGAGAATGGGGTTATCCGTATAGGCATTGCGTGTTTGCTTAGTACCTCTGTCAGAGCTGTTTATAGCCATACTGCCTCGCTTTCCACCTCCGCCCTACTACAGCTATCCAGTAGAGCTGGCTGGTTAGCTGCTAGAGCCTTCCACGTCTGTTTAGCATTTTCTAAGGCTTCTGGATCTGCTTCCAGATCCCTAATTTGCCATCCAGTCGCCTGTACGTTGGCTTTTTCAGGTCTTTGTTCTAGCTCTTCCCATTCAGCTAATATCAGCTCATGATCAGATCCTGTAGGATATTCGTTATCAACTAGCCAGCTAGTCAAGGGACCTAGCTCTAGAGTTGATATTATTAGATCAATAATTGAGATACCAGGGGTCCACTTAGGCCTGATAGGAATATCTGGCTCATTATTAATATACAGATTAAATCTCTCAATTAGATCCTCCAGCGGCGTTGCATTAATATATTGACTAGTCTGGGGATTCCACATAGGACTGTAGGCATTGAAATCTCCTAGTATCAGGCATCTTCCTTCTACTAGTAGATTCCATTCGGTATCCTCAATAGCGCGGCGGTATCTAGAACTAGAGCCTTGCCAGCAGTAATCTTTACCTAGCCAATTATCATAGCAGTTCACTATTCTTGTTCTCCGAACCCGGTTCCTACCCCTATCCAGATCCCAGATATCTAGAGCTAGTATATAAAGATAGTTAATCAGATCAGTTCTAACTTCAGTAATCTTTTAGTTTAACAGATCTTTTCGGACTACTATCAGCACTCTATAGTGCTTACGTCCTCCTTTCTGTGGCCAATATAGTAGATAGACAGAGTGTCAGAACTCCTGTACAATATAGGGCTCCTGTAGACAGATTATATCTGCTTGTCTCTGGAGCCCTGCTTCCAGGGCTGCTATAGTAATAGGATAAGCCCTGCGACAGTTCTGCTGAACTATCAGCATTGGGATATGCTGATAGACCTCACTGGCCTAGGAGTCTGAGAATCCTCCATAGTCTGGTCTCGGGGGGTGGTCGGTAGAGATATCTGAGCCGCCCTAGTAGAACTACCAGGTGATAAGATACTTCTCGGACGTGTTCTGATGACTACCTGAACTACTGGTAAGTTCGGCGGTATAGCAGACACTTGATTTCGCTGTTTTCGGGCTGTCTGCTTACTAGGGCAGCTTGCAGCTAGTGCAGGATATCTACCCCCGCAGTTACCACATCTCGCTGGAGTATGTTAACATACTTTTCCAGCTCTAGCTGAGCAGCCTAGAACTGAGCATTCATGGTTTAGGCCTTCATGGGGGCCTGCGCAGATAAAGCATTTTGGTGGACAGTCTCCGCAAGCCCTATAGTTTTTATGCCCTATTCCACAGCACCGGGGGCAAACTGTATCAGGTCCTAGCTCCCAGAAATACTCAACCCTGTATCTAGCACCACCGAAATGTATGCTATTTATTTAAATCTGCTGAGCCTCTGCCAGTGATCCTACTGTAATTACAATACTAGATCCTTTTTAAGCACTATTTCTCAGAGACTTAGGGCTTTTTAACCATGTAGGATCTCACTTTAGGCATATAGCACTGCCTGTTTCAATTTCCTGTCTTGCTAGGCCTAGACCTAGGATGAGATATCGCCTAGTAGGGACTCCATGGATCTTCAGTCTATACCATTACTCTGGTATTTCCAGTGAGATAACTACAGAATCTATCTTCCTCACAGCTGCTATTAGTAGATCTAGATATCTAGATAATAGTATTTGATTCAGGGCCCCTTTCTGTAGAATAATAGATATAGCTCTAGTCCGAGTATAGCCTGCATCTACTACCCGTAGAAAATCTGGTAGTTCTTCTTCGGTAAGAGCAGTATTAAGTCCTAGAATAATATCTTTATATTCTGCCTTTGGCGTGTCCAAACTGTTTTCTCGCCTGAAGAACAGTCTTCGGGCCTCTAAGGGGGACCGCTTCGCAGCTTTCAGTTCAGGTAGTGCTTGAGTCTAAATCCTAGAGTATTTTTGATAGCGCTTCTTGGTAACTGTCTACCATTCCTGTCCTCCAGGATTGGTTTTTAGTAGGGCTACAATATCTGCGTACATGGTCTCAGGCCTATTAGACTTATTGTTTGACGCGGCTCTGTTTTATAATCTATACATAGAAAACTCTGTCTTCCTGTTCTGGGCAGCCTGGGGGGCCTGGGGAGACTGTAACAGCTTTTTCTATACTGTTTTTGGTCCTGGCTTTGTTGAGAAAAACTTAGCTTATTGAAGCTCCTGCACCTTCTCTTCTAGAGCCTTAATTCGGGCTTCATATTGCTGCTCACGGATCTGTTGCTGTACTGTCTGGGTCTCAATTATCTGGTTAATATAGGCCTGTATTGTTTCGAGTTCTGCCTGCCTTTCGAGCTCCTGGCTTTCCAGCGATTCTGCTAGGGCTTGATAGTGCTTGCATAAAGATCTTCCAGGATTTA